ATATAATACATACATACACACACACACACACACACACACACACACAACACACACACAAACACACCCCACAAAGGATGGTTATCTAAAAATGATTTCTTCATGATCACCTCACAACTAAATTCAGGATTCTCTTTTCGTGAGCACTGAGGTAAGGGATGGAGAGCATAAATAATGGCAAAACAATGGAACTAGAAGTAGTAGACACAGTTCAGTTGGAAGGCAGCAAATTCCTCATGTTAACATTTGGCAGCTCAGGAGCTATAGTTATAGCCCCAGTGGAAATGTTACACTACTGTCCCTGTTTGATGAAGAATGGGGTGGTGTAGATTTCTGCTTGCCTACAGATCCTGCTTTCTAGGTGGGGCTTGGCTCTGGCTTTGCTTATATTTCTTTTTACCTCAAGACTGTCCATTGACTTCATTACAATTTATTTATACAATATTTTGATTCATAATTCAAAGTAGAGGGAGTAGCCATTGGGAATTTTGCAATGTGAAGAAGATACATGATGGGTTTAGTCATCGGTGATAGCTTTTGCAAAAACTACCCTCCAATTAGGGCTATATCATAATGTTATGCCCTCTCCACAACCCCTTCCATTTTGACCAAAATCTCTAAAAGTAATCTTAAATAAGCAAGTAAATATTAGTAGTCTCACTATAGGAACTAAAATTTTTCTCATAGGAAATATCAAAATCAGACTTCTTCCCTGGATTGAAACTTCCTTAGTGTTAGATGACTCTTCTGAGTAAAAAATTATAGGTTAAAAGGGAGTATGGAAATGAAGGGTTAAAAGGACTTCCCCTTATAGTACTTAATCCTTGATTTAAAAAAATAGTAAGTGTGGAATAAACCCTATTGATATATTAACTGCCTTTTAAAAGTACAAAAGAGAAAAATGGATATTATAGTATTTGATGAAATTTTACCTTGCCTGTCAGATTAGATGTAACAAATCTACAGGCCTACAAATCACAAGTAATCGGAAAGGGCATAAAGGTCTTGAATAATTTAAAAAATAATCTTATTAATAAGTACACTTATTCATTAGATGGTTGGGTAAATCTAAGCATTTAAACTGGAATTCAAGAAGGCAAGCCATAGAGATTGTGGACTTGCGTCTTATTTATGTTAGGCCGTGACTTTGACGTTTCTAACATTAGAATCTAGGACACTAATATAATTTATATGGAACATTACCCTATAAGGTTGCCTTGGTTACTCCTTGAACTGTTCAGAGAAAAACTGACTACTCCAGGTGAGAAAAATGGGTATAGTTGATACACTGTAAGAACACAAAAATTAAATTATTATATTTATAAATAAAAAGCCTCCTAAATAAAGCTATTTTGGGGTTAAATACTAAAACTTTCCTACCACTTAAAAATTGTGCCAACTTAAACTCTAGATGAAAATACTTCTGATGATTTACTTTTGGGTAAAATTTATTAAGTCTAATACCTAATTTCATAGACCTTTCATGTTTAAGTATATTAAAAAATTACCTTAGTTTTTATGTTAGGTGATAATTCCAAAACAAATAAATAGAAACAAGTTACAAAAAAAAGGTACAATTTTGACCTATTACAAATCTTTTAAAAACACTATGTTTTGAAATCAAATCTTAGTTGCGATTTGCAGTATAAACTGATTTGAATCTTTCATAGATCATTATGCATATGAGACATGTGACTTATATAAGAAGACTAGGAAATCTTTAGAAAGGGAAGTAACAAGATTTAAAAAAGCCTCAGGTTTTAAAATTATAATTGAATTTGTTCAAATATCAGTCAATTAGTGTATCAATTAGATAGAAAATATGCTAAAGCACAATAGAGAAATCATTTTTTTATTTAAAATAATGTATTCAGGATAATACAGGTCCAGTTTAAAAATATTTAAGATTAAGTTTCCACATTTAAAATGATACCAAATTTATAACTGTAAATATAGCACTTAGTCATGATGGCCATATAATCAACAAAACATTTTCATACAGAAATTCTAAAACATATTGAAACTATTTTCACATTTGCCTACTTTTTTTTTTTTCACTTTTTAAAAAAATCATACAAGGCACTTTATGGAATGTCTGTAGACTACAGGAAAAATACTGTGAATATAAATATGAAAAAAGAAATTCTGCTATTAATGTTCTCTGTTATAGAGAAACATTATTTTAAAAGTGCTAATATTTTTAGCTCAAATAGTAGCAGAATATATTTAAATATTAGACAAACCACTTAGAAAATTCTGCAGGATGAAAAGTGAAATATTTTAACAATTCCAGGTTATCAGAAGGCTTTATATGTCAATACACAGATGACACTCTCACATCTTAATATATATGCCTAAGTTAATTCTGGGTATATGTAAATATTCAGATTCTGGTTACTATAAAATAGTACAAAGCTATTCGTATATTTGATGTAACAAACAAAACATGCTCTTTAGACAAGGATGAGAAAGACATATGTTTACTAGAATTCTATTTAAAACAGAAATTTTAAAGGTATGTGTGTTTGTTTGTGTGTGTAAATAGCACTAAATGGGGAATTAAAGAGTATGTTCTTTTTAAAGTCCTTTAAATAATGACATAACTAAAAACTAGGTTTCACTTCAAAGAAAAAACCAAAGGTAGCCTTTCCATGCTTTAGGTTTAAATCTCTCTTAAAAGTTGAGATTTGCTAAAAGCTTCCTAAAAAATATTTGTTTTTACTATTTGTTTTACTATTAATTTGATAACCAGTAAGAAGAACTGAAAATAACTCTTAATCCAAAGTATATTTTTAAAATCTCTAAAAGGAATTACATTAAATCAAACAAAACTACAACTGTGGGAAGATCAAATTTAGTAGGAAAGCTCATAGTATGAAAATGTTCTCTCCCTTTTATCTGCACAACCAGTCTCTATCTCAATAACTATACACTTACTCATGTAATTGACTTATTTCAGTACACTTAAGGTTCTTTATAACCCGCCACATTGGTTTAGTTTTACATGAAATTGCAATACTGAAATTTGGTCACAGCAGTGGATATTGAGACTCCCACTGCATCAGAACGAATGCTTTGCACTGAAGATTAACTGTGTTTATAAAATATAACATTGGTTAAAAAACAATCCAAAACAAACAAACGTACACCCCACCCTCTGAAAAAAAGACCTACAGCTATGAAATTAAAAAAGAAAGCTTTTGAATAAATCGAAATCAAAATATTGAATTTTAATATTAAAGATCTCCTAATTTAAATGCAGTTCATCAAAAGTATTCCACATTCTTTATAAAATATAGCTCTTTATTTGGCAAATCATTGTTTTATCACAAACAATAATTTTTAAATTATATGTAATAAAATGAATATTTGAAATTAAATTTTATAGTTTTCTTAATATAAGCTGTAGTCCTATGACTAAAGAAAATACTTACTTAAGAAATTTTTAACTGCTTAAGTGCACACAGAGTTCAGGCTGTTCACCTAAAACTTTATCCTAAATCTAAATAATTAATTCAAACAGATGAATCACTCATCCTAAGAAGCTTCCTCAAATGCTACATTCTTCTTGAAGCCTCCTGAATATTCCAGTAGATATTAGCTGTTTTTTTTCTGTGTATTCCTATAGGTTTTTGAGTTTCATTCTCTTATAATCCTCACTTCAGTATGCCTTCTGGAATGGTTCATTCTTTATAGGTCTTTTTCTTCTGTTAAACTGTATTCTCCTCTGGATGGGAACTGAATGACATCTGTCTCTGAGTCTCAGCAGGAGATTATACACAGTAGGCACCCAATGTCTGCTGAACAAGTGGAGAAAGTGGAGAACAGACAATGGAGATCAATACTGGGTGCCCAACTATTGTTTGGGTTTGTTTCCCAAAGTTTATTTTAAAGTAAAAAATGTTTACTGTTAACCATTAATAGATAAACATCAAAAATAAATTGTCTAGTTTTAACACCCACTGAAAATAATACATTTGGAGCAAGGGGCTCCTGAGAATTATTAAAAGAAATAGAAATATGCATATAAAGGAGGAGACATTCATTTTTTTTTTTCGGGGGGGAGGGGTCAAAATGTCTCTCAGTCATTGTAACCCATAAAAAAGTTTAAAAGTAGTTAAAATTTCACATATTAAACCATGTAGATTTGGTTAGAGAATAAAGGTCTTCTGAGATTACTTAAAATGAGTTAACAGTGCAAATACTGAGTTGCTTCATGAGAATCTTGCCATGTGCTTTTTCTTCCTCCTTAAACATTTTAAAAAACTCTCCAGTTTTAATATAAACAAAAGATAAATATTTATGAAGGAAAACAAATTCCACAGCATTCCATACAAATTTCCAAACAGTCTGATGATTCACAACAGGCATCCATGATGCCACAATCCATGTCACAAGGGCAGTTGCAGTCATCCCCCATTTCATCTCCACAGCAACAGCAGCAGGCTTCTGATGTGCATATGCCACACGAAGCTTGTCCCAGGACAATATTGCAGAGGGTTAGGAATTCACAGAACAAGCAGGCCAGGATACAGTGGACACAACAATCTTCATTTTCAATTGGGAAGAGTCCACATAGTGAGAAAAAGAAGAAACACAAAATATATAAGTGTCATCAATAGACTGAATAATGATTTGATCAAAATAAGTAATCCAGAACCCAATGACAAACAGTCCTAAAAGTCTTTTGTGGGCAAGAAGCTCAAGAAGAAACTTAAGTTAAATTTTAAATGATCAATCTTTAGAGGTAGATAGATACTCCATATGAGAAACAAATATCATAGTTGTGTATACATGCGCATGCACATCTAGACTAGATTATTATTCTCTTACACTGTGCAATGGTCCTTGTTCCTAGGTTCCACTTTTCTATGCCTCTTACCCATCTTCCCTATATTCGATTGCTCTCTATAACAAAGAACAAAATGAATCTATGACACTAAAATCCTTCAGAAATAGGAATTTCTTTCAACTCCACTGACCTGCTCTAAAATTAAAAGGAAAAAAAAATGTAAACATGACATACTTGGTACATTATTGAATAATTGAATAAATAGTTAAATTTAAAGCTATTAAACTGGGATCAGCATGTTTTATTTTACAATAAAACTGACTCAATTTCATAGTATCAATTTTTTTTTCATTTTGTAGGAATTAAAGAAAAATAGACTCTCTGGTCGGGTCTAACCATTGTTTCTGGAATCTAAGTTCTTCTGCCTATTTCTAACAAAGAATTTGTACCTTAGCAAATATGAATAATGATACAATAACATGGCTTTCCTACTTCCTGTGTGGCGAAGTACTTTACATTTTTTATTATTTCCTGAATCATCTCTAATAATGCCTCTCTAATCAATAATGTTTATCAAACTTCATGAGCTGACATAAAGGGGTGAAAAATCAAACAGATTACAATCTTTAAATTTAGTACTCCATATTCTAAACTTTTCTTTAGAATTTGGGAGCAAGAGAGAGGAGCAGTTGAAGAAAATTTCTATTTCTAGAGGATCTGAACATGTCATAAAATCATTTACGACCAATGTTATAAGACGTTTGTCTAATTTCAGAAGCATTAGTGAATTTTATCGGGATTATTTCCGGGTTTTGTGTTGCTGTTGTTGGTTGGTAGAGGTTTTATATCTTTTTTTTTTTTTTTTTTTTTTTTTTTTTGGTATTTCGTACAATGCAAGCTTTAATGAGGCATTCTGCTTTCAACAACAGCAGCAATAGATAACAATCCCCACTCCATCCCACTGTCATAGCCCTTTGTGTTTCTGTATTTGGCTTTAAAGCTGAATGCTTTTAATGAGTTTCAGTAAACTGTGTGACCATCTATAATAAATCACCCAACTCGTTGAACATACATGTTTCTCTATACTCTCTAACTTCATAGAGAGTCTCTAACTTTGTAAAAGGGAGGAATGTGGAAACACAAGGTCATACTCTACATACCAGATGGCAAAAGCGGGGAAGAAAAGAACTCAAGGAAAACTCCAGAGTTGTTGGTACAATTAAAGGTTAAAAGAAGACACCAAGCTTTCCTTCTACTCTTCTCAGTGCCAACCCCACCCTCAAATGCAATGATCTGTAGAACAGCTAGAAAAAGCTCATAAAGTTATAAGAGTCTGCAGGTTGTTTTCCATCTCCCCCTAATGTTTTTAGTAGTATCCAGTCATTTCAGGAGAAAGCTGAAAGCAGCTACATGAATCCAAGTCTGCAGCCTTGGAAAGTTCTGGGTTTCTAAAGCATATCTGTGGTTTCCTTCTTTCTACATTCTTTCTATGAACTTTTATCCCGATACTTGTCTTACGTATCTCTGTACAGTTGAGCTCTTCCAGGAGTATACTATCATTAGTTGTAAAATATTTGATGTTATAAAGAACTAGCTTTATTATTATTAAGAAAATAGTGTTTAACTAGTAAGACAATTCCATTCAATATACCTTCAACAAATACCCATATTAACTGATTCTAACAACACTTCTGACCTTAACTTTCTTTTCTTTTGTGGAATGCTTATATTTCAAGACTGAAAGGAAGAATCTACAAAAACTCATTTGGCAATGAAGACTCTTTAACTGATTAATCTTAAAACTCTAAGAATAGTTATTGAGTATTAGATTCTTTATGTATCAATCGTAAACTACAACATACATAGAACTGTATGTGATGGATCGACTGATTTTATAGGGGAAAGATTTATAGGGGTCGTCCCACTCAGCCTTCGAAATAGAGGATTATAATATCTTCAAAGCCTCCTTTGGTCCCTTACTAAGTCCCTTCCTATCCTGAGATATAATCACTATCTTGAATGGTGAACAAAATTTATTTATTTATTTATTTTTTACAACAGTGAACATGTAAACATCCCTACATAATCTATTAGAAAGGAAATGACACCATATGAATTACTGGGAGTAGCATTTTTTTGGTCAACATTATGTGTTTCAGATTTATTCTAGTTGATTCATGTAGCTTTAGTTCATCTATTTTCTAGGTGTATAGTATTCCATTGATTCAATATGTCATAATTTATTTATCTACCCTACTATTTATAAACATTTTGGTCATTTCCAGTGTTTTTGCTATTATAAACATGACTGTCTGAAACAGTTTAGTGCAAGTCTCCTAGAGTACACATGCTAAATAACTAGCAATAAAATCATTGGGTCACAGGATGTGCATACGTTTAATATTATTAGGTGATACCAAATTTGTTTCCAAAGTGATTGCTCTAAAATTTACTCCCACCACCCAAGTATGAGAATGCTCATTACTCCACAGCTACATCAATCACTGAGATTGTCATACTTTCATATATACCAATTAGTTGAGTGTGAAAAAGGCATCTCATGGTGGTTTTACCTTGTATTTACTTATTTACATGTTTGTTGGCCATTTATGTTTCCTGTTCTTTGGAATGGCTGTTTAAGGTGTTCATGTTCTCATCTCACTTTTCTATCACCGAAATAAATAGTTTATTTATTTTTTATTTATTTATAGAAGTTCTTCATATATTCAAGATATCAGTCCCTTGTCAAAATCATTATCCTTTCTCAGTATGTGGCTTTTCTTGTTTAAAATAACAAAAGACAGATGAGTTAATTTTTGGAACTTGAGAGTTTCAAATGATGAAAAGAAATCTAAATCAAATCTTGTAGTTAGCCAGAGATATGGGGTTACATGGCTGAGGATGTGAAGTGACAATGGACAAGAGATGGTGTTAACAAGATTTGATAGCACAATGAAATAAAAAGTTTCAGTGTCTGATTCAAAACAAAGGAGTCCATCCATACCTATATACTTAAAGTTAGAAGAAACCAGTAAGTAATCCAGAGGAAGAGATCGAATGTGATTGGTGTGAAATCAACAGCCCTCAGAATGTAAAGGGATAGGGAGTGGCATTCCAACCTAAACAACTCATTGCCACTCATAGGATATATTCATTTGAGAATTACAGTCTTTTCCAGATCTTAAGACAATAATGACTGTTATAAAGAAATTAGAAGCTGTAAGTCAAGAATAAAATCGCGCCAAACTCCGATTCTTAGCCAACAAGATCTACAAATTAAGTCAGTTAAATTGTCTTTGTATTTTTTAGTAAATAAAGAAAATGGAAAAATAAAGTTCTTTGCTCTAAATAGAGAAAACGCTCCTTTTCTAGCCTATTTTCTACAACACAATGTGATTTCTATAACAAATAGGTATAAGAGGTGGTTTTATATAGAATGGGGAGCATAGTGTTAATGAAGGAAAAGTATTCATTTGCTGTTGTCAGAATTAAGAAATGTGTTGCTGCAAATATATTTTCTCATTCAGATGGTTGTCTCTTTACCTTATCTTAGGAGAGGAAATGTTTTAATCACTCTTTCATTTTTTTAAAAACTATTTATTTAGAAAACTTACTTTATACTATGTTTTAAGCTCTTTATAAATGTTAATTCATTTATTTCTAATAACATTCCTAAGAATTAGTTCTGATATCATCTCCATTTTACCAATACAGAGAGAGACTTTCAGAAAATTTAGGAATTTACCCAAGTCATAGAGGCAGTAAGTAGCAGAGCCAGGGTCAGAACCCATACAGTTAGTGTCCGTGGTCTATGCTCTAATTCAGTGTGCTGTGTTTATTGCCACTGCAGGGAAGGGTCTCTCCTAACACTTACTTCATCTTCCTGGGAGAATGATCAGTAATAAATTTTTAAAAAATTATTTCTCTTTCTGATCTGCTTTTAGCCTTGAGTCAAGTCTCTTTTCCTTTCTAAAGATGATTCTGAATTTCAGTTTTAATGAAAAGTTGATAGTAAATTTTTACCTTCAACAAGAACAAAGTTTATGAGTTGGAAAACCGATAAACTGCCAGTCACATTGTCAAAATAGACATAAGAGAGAGATGGTGTCTCTATCAAAAGAAAAAAGTCTGTAAGTTTAAAACATAAAAATTAAGGTCCCTGGTATTGTAGAGATTACATAGGAACTCTAGTGGTAATGGCAAAGGTCTCAAAAGAATAAGCTCTTTATGTAACTATTAAAACTTACAAAATATAAATATCTTCTTTAAACACAGAGTCTACATAATTTTCTAGAAAAGCATGTTGGGCTACTCTGAAAAACCAAATCTATTAAGAGGCCCCTAAAAAAGCCACAAACCAAATTACATTTTAGAGATTAAAGTGATACTAAAGGTGCATTTACAGAGACGCCTACCAGAAACTTTCATTTCCTGTACTTTATAAGTCAAGAAATACCTTGATATAACAAAAAATAAATTTAAAAAATGAATCCCTAATACTATCATATCAACTCAATTTTATAATCTAATTTTCATTCCTTGACTGAAACATTTTCTTTTCCACTTTCTAGAAAGTGACTTGATTATGACTTGGGCTAAGGAAAAGGTTAAAATAAACTTAGAAGAAATATCTTTTACAGTTTCTACCGCTACCACTCCCCCCACCAGAGGAATCAAGAATCATAAAAGGCATTATGATATTGTTTTTATTTCAAGCAAAGAGAGAACTAAAAGAATTATCAAACTAAGAAGACTT